TATGTGTGTCTAGCACACAGCTTTTGGGGAGCAGATTGCAGGCCGTGGTTCTCTGAGTGCTTGTCCTGCCCTCCTTTGAGAAAGACAGTGGCAGTGGTCCCTTACATATATATATGGTTTTTGTTGTTGTTGTTAATCCCTACCCAAGGATATTTTTTCCTCGTTGATTTTTAGAGAGAAACATTGATGTGAGAGAGACACTTCCATTGGTTGCCTCCTGCACATGCCTCCACAGGGGGTGGGGGTGGGTGGGGGTGGTGGTGAGAGGGGATGGGGATCAAGCCTGCAACCAAGGGATGTATCCTTGACTGGAATGGAACCCACGACCCTTCAGTCCACGGGCTGATGCACTAACCATTGAGCAAAAACAGCTAAGGCTATATATGGTTTTAAAGTCAGACAGCAATGCAAAGAGCTGACAGTGAATTATGGTCTAGGTTCTGGTCAGCTAAAAAGTTGATTGCAGATATCCTTTTTATAATTCAATAGAGTAGTCTGAAAAAAAATCCAAGGTAAGGTGTTTATACAAAGGAATTAAGAGTTCTACTGAGACTAATTCTTAACCTGAAAAAAGAAAATGTGTGTCACAGCCCAGGCCCACTGTTCCTGCCTCATTGACACATGTTTCCTTCTTCAAAGACACTGTTCTTTCCACAGTTCTTGCTAGAGGGAAATACCCAAAGTGAATGAAGTCAACTCCTTTTGGAGACCTCTTGGCCAGAGGTCTGTGCTACGTACTCTTATGACATCAAGAGAAGAGAATTGTGCCCGGCCGGTGTGGCTCAGGGGTTGAGCATCGACCTATGAATCAGGAGGTCATGGTTCGATTGCTGGTCAGGGCACATGCCCAGGCTGTGAACTCGATCCCCAGTGTGGGCATGCAGGAGGCAGCCGGTCAGTGATTCTCTCTCATCATTGATGCTTCTATCTCTCTCTCCCTCTCCCTTTCTCTCTGAAATCAATAAAAATATATTTTTTTAAAAAGAAGAGAATCGCAAAAACTGAAGGACATTCAACTGGTCACTTAGCAGCCCTACCAGGGACTGAAATATGCTAGAATCAGGCTTGCTATTTACTTCCTTCAGTCTGTCCTTAAATAAATCCCCAGAGTCTTAATACTTTCATGCCACTCTCCTCAGAACACTTCCTAATTTGTCTACGAGTAAAGATGCAAGATGGCACAGACAAGTTCTGACAGCCGCATCTCAACAATGCATTATATCAAGGGCTATATGACATTGAGAGCTTCACTCGATTCCTATCTAAAACACAATTCAGGACATCAACATGCAGCCAACACAGGGATTTAGTTGCCTTTCCCGTCCTCCCCTCCAACATTGAGCTCCTGCCTATTGCCAAGCTTGTCTGGCCCTTCATGCCTTCTTCAAAGCAGTGACAGTGTCCTCATCATAACGTGTTTCAGATTTTGGAAACTAGCTTTCTAAAGGTGCATACGAATTCTTTTCAAGTGAAATGCACTTAAGTATTCATATATTCACTTATCAGAAAACCTCTGAGAGCCCAGCTGGCGTGGTGCAGTGGTTGAGCATCAACCTATGAACTGGGAGGTCCCGGTTCGATTCCCGGTCAGTCAGGGCACATGCCCCGGTTGCTGGCTCGATCCCCTCTGTGGGGCGTGCAGGGGGCAGCCGATCAATGATTCTCTCTCATCCTTGATGTTTATATCTCTCGCTCTCTCCCTCTCCCTTCCTCTCTAAAATCAATAAAACTATATTAAAAAAAGAGAAATATCCTGAGATAGAATACATTCTGTATGGTCCTTAATCACCATAAGATTTGGCTTTAGAGGCACACAGGGACAGAGACTGAAGGCTGCCCCTCCATTTCAACCCAGAGTTAACCTTAGCCAGTAACCTTGGCAGTTTCCTTCGCCAGGAGGCACTTTCCAAATGGCCAAGGTGTCCTTTAGACGGCATGAGCTTTGACTTATGAACCAGGAGGTCACAGTTTGATTCCCGGTCAGGGCACATGCCCAGGGTTGTGGGCTTGATCTCCAGTAGCAGGCGTGCAGGAGGCAGCTGATAGATGATTCTCTCCCATCATTGATGCTCCTATCTCTCTCTCCTTCTCCGTTCCTCTCTGAAATCAATAAGAGTGTATGAAAAAGGAAGAAGTCATGGGCAATTCTCCCCTTCCGCGACTCTAAGCCTCCCTCACCAATCTGAGTCTGGCACACTCAGCCAGCTGTCGAGGACAGAAAAAATCTACAGTCTCCCTTCCCTAACTTCAGAACAAATTAACCATTTATTAGCCAGTAATGTCATCCAAGGGTTCGATAGGATTACAAGTCACACGAATAATAGTATTTTTAGCGGCTGAAACAAGGGGTTAAATGCCAATCATTACCTGTAAGATTGCCAATAACCATAACCACAAAACGAGATAGATATATGCTGGCTCTTTGTCCACACGAGCTGTTCCATGCACATTTACATGCATGCATGCCAACCAACATACAAAGCTGTGCACGTAAATGTTTATAACCTTACCCCCTTTCTCTATAAAGCATTGCACGCTTATCACATTGATCACAAAGAGCCCAGGTAATACCCCAAAACATACATATGAGCAAACATTATGCAAATCCTACCATCCCATCTTGATATGCATTCTTAAGCTGTATTTTTTGCCATCCTCTTTGACTGTTTCAGTCAGTTCTTAAAGCTCAACTAAAAAATATTCTGAAAAACTTTCTGACTTCCAGTCATCTTAGTTCACCGCCTGCTGCTAGTTAAAAATCCATTCCCAAATGAGAGCTTCTAAAGGGAAGGATACACACGCACTCCAGGAAACAGACATTCATTTTCACCTTCAAGACACCAAGCACGTCCCCTGCAGCTCAGAGCTCTGCTTTGCCCGGTGGACCTAGGAGGCACATTCCGCAGTCCCCATCTGCAGGGCAGGCTCGCCTGTTTTGATCACGTCTAAGTTTTCCAGGTAAACAGATCACCCTCGGCGACAGGGACGACAAAAGAAACTCACCCAGGCGGTCAGACTCCAGTCCCGGGCGCTCGCAAGTGAGCCGACCTGTCGCGCCCCCTCCTCCGGGTCCCGGAGGGAGGGCAGGCGCAGGGCCAGCTGAACTAGGCTGGACCCCAGGCTTCCCGCCGCTCCCCTCCGCAGACCATTGTTAGACCCGCGGGCGGCGAGCTTCCTGCACCGAATGGGGGCGGGAAGCTCCACGGAACCGAATAGTTGCAATGCTCTCCCGGAGCCGGGGAGGAAAAGCTGCTTTTGCATCCGAGGCGGAGGCTGTACCAGGTGTAACTTCCACCCCGTGACCTATTTTAGAGTGTGAGAATGAAAGCAGTAAGAAAAAATAGACGGAAGGTGCGCG